AAACTATTGCCCGTGCCACAAAATATTTTGGGATCAAATGAAACCTTGATCATTACTTTATAGGAATACCAGGATATTTCTATTGGTACTGAAGCATGTTGCAAACTTCAATATGTGATTATTAGGGACCAGTTTTGATTGGTATTATCAATTGTTTTTTTCCTCTCCTTTTTATTTCTTGATAAAAAACTATTTCTATATTATTCGATATTTATCTCACTCTGTAGACAGATAATCTAATCCTGACTGCCATCATTCGAACACTTGATAGAATTATTATACACGTTGACTTGAAAATAGTTATTTATTATACAAGGGGAACTTTTTTCGATATTTTATTTACGAATTAAATATTGTAAAGTTTCGGAGCATCGGCTGGGGATAGTCCTGCACGATTCGATGCGTTCCAATTAACAGTGCTGCTCCTAAGAGAGGGGCCACACGAGCGTTTATGCAACGCACGTTAAAACGGACGTTATTTTGGAACGCGCGACAAATCTTCCGGCCACACGAGCGTTTAGTTACGAGCGTCAGTTTGTTGAGTATACATGTGACAGTCATGGAAGGTCCGCAGGATGTTGCCGCTTTTCTGATTTTATACCTAGATCTACGTTAAAAAAAGCAGGCTAGGAAAAAACGTAAATGGTGGGTTCATCCCATAAACAGTGAGAGGTTCTTAAGTGGATCATTTTATACTCTCTATCCTCTCAAGCTGTAGTTTTCTTATTCTGGTCCTTGTACTCCTCATTAGAAGTATCCCAAAGCACGGGACGTTTTTGGACCTCATTTATGATCACTTCTATATCCATGTTTGATATAATGAATCAAAAACAAGTCCAAAACATACGATAACAACGTCTACGATAGTCTACGATGTCTACGATAGTCTACGATACAGACAACTCAACCGTTAGCTGTTGCCAGATCACAAAAATACTGCCAGTTTCGTATAATCGTCAGATAGACGCGCGTTGAATTGAATATCGTGTGGCTACGTATATCTGACCATGTGATGAACAAGAACGCGCGCTGTGTCCACCAACGGGCGTACTAGAGGTGCTGAGCGTTGACAATGAATAACGCGCGACGAGTTGAACGCGCGTTGGTGGTGTGACCGACGCATATCACGCTGGTGTTATTCTACAACGTCCGCTACAACGCGCGTTACAACGTCCGTCATTTAAACGCTCGTGTGACCCCTCTCTAAAGTGGCGCATGGAGTTAGTAACAAAGCCTACACAGAACACGCAGAAAGATATGATGATGTGGTTGTGAGCATCAGAGAAGAACTAGGAGGGTGTATGTAGGTGGGTGTAGAAAAACTACCAGCTGAGCGTGAGAGCGGGCCAGCTGCTTAAGTAGACCTCGGTCTCGGGGGTTAACGATGATAGTTAGCAGGCCTGCCACTGCGCATATGGTAGTGAGTACATTACTAGCCTACAAAACACAGCTGAAAAACTCTGAAAAGAGAGCTGATGGGCGGTGCCTGAAAAGGATGTTAGCCAGCTCTCTTGAGCGAACCACATCAGTCATTGAAAACACTTGGGGTTTGCAAAAAGGTCCCATTGGGGACTAGTTGCTGACGTGGAAACGTCCCCCACCAGTACCAGTACCAGTACAAGGGAAAAATAGTATATTCTAGCTCCAGGTTGTGTTGTTAGACAAAAAACCGGGAGCTGAAATCTAATATTTTTCCCGTGTATAAAACACTATTTTTTTCTGTGACAGAAGAAAGGACGAATCAATATTGAGAAGATATTACATTATTTTGAAATCTGAAAATTATCGACGTGAAATTTTAAGTTCTCAACAGTAGGGACAACCTGCGTTGTAGGCATATTCATCATCATTCTTTTGAAGTAATCAAATATCTGCTGTCACTTCTGTCAGTCTAATTATGTAATTTGATTACAAAAAATTGCGAATTTAGTAGTTGTTTAGTAATATACGTAACCGCGAAGTCGAATGGAAGATAAAAGGACTTGCAGTTCTTTCTCGGAGACGGTATTATTGACTCATTTTTTGGAACTATAGCACAACACAAGCCATCAACAGTATATATATATATGTGATATATATCCATGAAAAAAGTACTCACTCTTTTCCCACGGGAAAATAGTAATTTATGAAAAGTGACATTTTATAACCTGCCAACAGAGATAAAATGCCAAACTTTTTCCCGTCATAGAAAAAATGCAATTTTTCAAAATTGTCATTGATAAAAATCACCCCTTCTGAGATAGGTATTGTTTTTGAAAACTGTTTCAGGAGGATTTCTGTCTTGTCCGAATCGATTGACATTATCAAGATTATTGAAACAATGCATAATCCGTTTTCTTTAATTTCGCTAGAGTTTTTGTGATCGCTGTAGTTCAAGAAATTGTGTTCGATCTTTTTTTTGCTCGACAAAGTGAATAATTTTATGATTTTGAATATAATGTATATTATGAGAGAAAAAATTTCCGAATCGTCCTAGAAATACGAAAGTACAGGGGTAGAATGTCATTATTATATTATTATGATATTGAATTCATCACAACAGGTCGTCAAATGATCTTTGTGGGACACCGTCATTGATTGTTAGGGTATCAGAACAGACTACCACCATTTTTACGGACTATCCTTGCCTGAATCCCATATCTACCGGGTGTTTTTCAAAAGTGGCTCATCCCTATAACTTTCTTGTTTCTATAAATATATAAACAAATGAAATTCGGTGTGTGAGTATAGTATATACAGATTTTAAAAGAATTGCATTATTCGCATTATTTTCTTATTTTAAATGGGACTCCCGATATACTTTTACTTATTTCGATGAAAAATCACATTGTGAGTACAATGACAACTCAATTGCCACTTTTAGACATTTTAATTAATATCAATTTTTATCATTTCGACTGTTATTTATCATTTCACATTTCTCAATAACGAACTAACAATAGAAAATATTGTGTCTTGAGGATTTTTGCCAAAACCAATAAGTTCAATATATGGATGCGCGCAAATGCAATAACAAAAATTGTTTAATAATACTTTTCAAAGCCCCCTCAATTTTTTTTCATTATTAACGATGACGCTTCATCACAATAAACCATTAGAGCGTTTAGGCAGATTATGATATTGAATATTGATTCAAAATATCGATTATATGGTACCTATCAACGTGTTCGTAACAAAATATCCTTTCAAGATATGGAAATGTGCCACCCTTGTTCTATTTGAAAAAATTGAGTCATCACAATAACGATATTGTAAATTTCGAATGAACCTGTGAAACAAATGGATAGTAAAACTCCATCGAAACATTTTTCGTTGGCAACTTGCTTCAAAATCAACTGTTTCAACTCATTCATGGCACTCTAGATTGAAAATTGAAAAATGAATATTTCAGGATGACAAATGTCAGAAAGTGTTATTATGTATCGAAATAATCAAGAATATACCGGGTGTCCCATAAAATAAGAAAATAGGGACCATTTCCAGTCGAACCTGAAGTGACAGAAAACAATTGAATACGTCAAATAATGCATATTTATGTTCAGGGTGAGCCAAATTGGACACTAATGGAAAAATCCTATTCTCGAACCAGATGGAAGAAAACTGATGTCGGAGCCTGAAATCCGCATATCGATATCTGTCTTTCGAAAATGGGCATTTTTGAAAATGGGCTATAGATATTTTTTGTTTGCAAAAATTGTCTGTCCTCATGAAAATAAATGCGAAGCGCATTGAGTTTGTGATGAAAGTTGTTCTCAAAGTACTGAAATAGGCCTTCCTATATCTAGTTCAAGAATATAACGTGTTCTTCTTGAAGGAAAATTTCTATTTTGCAACTAGGTATACGGTGACTGATTCCAGTGCCTGAGGATCAATTTTCATGACAAACACAATGCTTCGGGAAGGTTTTTATGGAAACGAAGAATTTTTGCCAAGAAGGAGTTTTAGCCACTTTTCAAGAATTCACATTTTCGAAAAACACCTTGAGGCTCTACTGGTTACGGGCCATGCATTACAGAGGAGAAACGGTCTGATATTTTTGCAAGAACATGTTTCAATTGTGTTTTCTCACGCACAATTCTTGACTACTGAGAGCGAGGAAAATATGGACGCATCCAGAATGAATTGTTTTTCCGACAACAAGTTGATTTTCATTCAATTCTCCTCCCGACCGAGATTCTGAGGGCGTTCCAGATTTGGGTCACTTTCAAGAAAACTCTAGATCTCTGATAGCCATCTTGAGTCAATTCTGATATTCAGATCTCTTCATCTGAAGTTTTATCTTCAAAATGAGCCTAAGATTTTTAAAATCGGTTGACGTGGAAAAAAGTTATGGCTGCAAAACCAAAAAGTTGATTTTTTGAGATCACTCTGTAAATAAGAGAGATAGGAAGTTGATTCGCGAAACATCTCGAGGTAATGAGATCATCTTCATGCCTCTGTTGTCGAAGTTGAGAAAAAAAATGTTTTCACCATTCGAGAACCTTTTGAATATTCCGAAATTTTGCACAGTGTCGGAAAACCCCATGTAGAGATTTCATGTGAATACCCTTATGTTTCAATGAAGTACGAGATTATAGCTGAAGGACTGGACTATCGAACAGTGTGAACCAAATTCAAATTGTCTAAACTGAAAAAAGTTATTCACATTATAACAGGGGCGACATTTTGGTGTGCGACGAAATTAGTGTTGAGTAGTTTAAATATAGATATCGATATGCGATTTTCACCTCTGAGTTTGTCATGTGAATTATTGACCAACAGGCACCGACATCAGTTTTTTTCTATCTTGTACGGGAATAAGACTTTCCCTTTAGATGTACCCAATTTGGCCCACCCTGTACACTCACACACCGAATTTCATTTGTTTATCTGAATAGAAACGAAAGAGTTATGGGGGTGTGCCACTTCTGAAAAACACCCGGTATACATCAAATCCAACTTTTCCATTTATTTCTTATAATTTGAATTATGATTTTAATTTTTTTTTGTTTCTCCTTCAGAACTACCCACCCTCGCGGGTGAGATGGACATGGAGGTGGCCGATGTGGTACAGAACCTACCTCCGATTTCCACCAATCACAAGCCGAGTAAAAAAGAGGCCAAATTAATGCAACAACGCTTGGACAAGTTAGCTAGAGTTACCAATCATTTACCTGGTAAGAGATACTTGCCACGTTTATACCGTGTAGATATTTGGTATGCTCACCCAACTGATCTGACCAGATTAAGACCAAATGACTTGTTATACATAGTGGAGTATACTACGGCCTTGCCAAAAATGCTATCTCGGAAACTAAGCGAGATAGAGGTATAGTTACTTTGGAGAAAATGATCCCCATCGAATTTTGAGCAACTTTGGTTTTTGTGTGTGGTCTGTCTGTCTGTACTCTGTGGTAATCATAAATCGATATATCTCCGGCACCCTTCGACATATCGACTTGAAATTTTGCCATCTTATTGTACTCGAAACGATATTATGTCATTAAAATATGAAGGAAATCGGAAAACTCTAAGGTGGTTTTTCCGGGTTTTTTCGATTGTTCACCGAAAGTTTCTTGTGACCACTCTACAAATCGCAAAAGTGGTTCGATCGATCTCATTTTTTGTGAAAAAAAAAACTCTATCAGGGAGAGACGAAGCCTATTGAAATTGAGCAGGGTCGGGGAATTCCAAGTGGGTTTTTCAAGGAGATTTTCCGAAACACACGGTTCGCTTCAAAACGACATATCTCCTGAACCAATAGACTAAATCCAAATTTGAAAAATGCACCGTATGCCTCTTTGATGACGCAACAAATTATTATTTCACCATTTTTTCGTGCATCCATCGAAAAATGGAAAAACAAATGAAAATCAAAACATCAAAATTTTAAATCCTTTCAATTCAATATATATCGAAAACAAATGGAAAAATCGAAAATTATCAAAAGTGCAAAGTTATCCATTGGAACATTTTCTACAAATTATTACCCAAAATTTTCTTCTGTAAACCCAATTGTACAGGAAATGAAGTAAAAAATATGAAAAAAAATTTTTAACGACCCATAGGGTACCATGAAGATATATTGAAAAACAAAAGATTATTGATAGATGAAGATCATCGACTTCCACGGAACCATGAAATATTCTTTCCTTTTGTTGATTGGAAGATGGAACAAAAGTGTTGAAAATTTTATTCTCAGATGATTCCAAATATCTCGAAAACAACTGGAAATATCTGAAAATGGTATAGAACCAAAATTATTCCTTTTCATAGAATCTACAAAAAATCCATATAACATTTTTCTCTGAATTCAATAGTTCGGGAGAGACGATGAAAAAACTAAAAAATTTACAAGTTCCTAGATGCCAATAGAAAACGAAACAAAAAACAAAAGAAAGTAAAAAAAGCACACTCGACTGTCTTGATTTTTTTCCCATAAACTACTTACCTAGCTCACTCGACTGTCTTTATTTTTCGCCAATAAACTAGGTACCTAGCTCACTCGACTGTCTTAATTTTTTGCCCATAAACTACGTACCTAGCTCACTCGACTGTCTTGATTTCCCAAAAAGAAGAAATATGTTGGCAAAGTTTCAACTTTCTTTTGTTTTTGTTTTTTCAGTCCCTATTGGCAGTCGAGTGGGCTAGGTACGTAGTTTGTGTGAAAAAACCAAGACAGTCGAGTGGGCTAAGTACGTAGTTTGTGGGGAAAATCTCCAGTTCTCTGAACTTTCATAGCGTCGTATACACATCTTTGGTGCCCAATGATAGTTTCAATATAAAAATATGCTCATGATATGGTGCCATGGCCTCTACTTCCATCTCACATGAGCAATGATAAAATATCATCTGCTTTTATAGCGTCGTTTAAATTTCTGACCTCTATACTAATCTAATACCTAATGAAAACTACATCTATACTAATCTGATACCTTTCAAAAACTACGTACCTCACTTGTTAACTCATGTTTACACCAGTGTATCTCCAGTTGACTAACCTCGCCAACCTTCTTATGATTTGATCAACATTTTGAGGTTAGGTTGTGGAGCTCAGCGAATATACAGTGAGGACGTAAAAAGTCCTCCCCACCTCTTTAACCTTCGAACGGAAGAAGCTAGCGAGGTCGGGTAAAATTCAGGCAAAAAGGTACCTCTTTCACTACTATTTGGCATGAAAATGGTTGTGGTCACGTACCTTGTTTTGAAGGCCTTTCGATTCTCTATCCCACCCCGCTTTGTTCGTGCAAATCGGTCAAGCCGTTTCAAAATGACAAGCGTTTGAAATGTACCTCGGAGTAAATCACGTTCGGATTGAATTTCAAAACCGATTTTTTTTTGTCAATAAGTGAACGATGAACATTTCGAGCATGTTTGAGCACTTGTTACAATGCCTACTTGAAATTCTGTGGCAATTAAAAGTTATTCAGGTCTTTTATTAATCAATATTAATATTTGAAGCAAATTCCAAACGCTTGCCATTTTGAAACGGCTAGGCCGATTTGTACACACGAAGCGGTGTTGGATAGACAATCAAAAGGCCTTAAAACAAGGTACCACGTGACCCCTCTTTATATATGAAAAAAAAAGTTGACGGTACCCACTTGACACTAGGTCACGTGACCACAACCATTTTCATGCCAAATAATAGTGAAAGAGGTACCTTTTTGCCTGAATTTTTCCCGACCTCGCTAGCTTGTTCCGTAAGAAGGTTAAAGAAGGGGGGAGGACTTTTTACGTATCTGTATAAACAATGAATAAAATATTCTAGCAGAATTCGAAATCAGCCAAATTTAAATGAATCATGAAACAACTGAAACTTGCACTTCACCCAAGTCAAGGCTATACCAAAGCTGGCCAAAGTGTTAACACCGTCTTTCTATCTTAGTCTGATAAGCAAAAATATTCGGTACCAAATAGAGAAATAGTCGGTAGTATATTCCGAACGTTTAGTGAAGTAGGGCTAATGAGTTCTTATACTGTTTCATTATTGGTCAGACAATCTTCCATTCCCATTCATAAACCAAGGTTGTCAGATCACCAACTATAATCAAGTTATTTAAAAGTTGTAAGAGCCTTATCGTTAAATAAAACTACATCCAAATAGAATATTTCATTTGCCCTAATAGGAGGAAGCCATAATATCATAGTTTTTAATTTGTGATTTTTGCGAGCAACCAGCTTGCCAAAATATTTCTTATACTCTATAACAAAACATCGTGTTAACATTGGCTGTAGAGACTTGGCAAAGCTGTGCTGAAAGTTGAGAACTGACAAGACAACTTCCACAGTCCTGACGTTTACCGTACCAAATGTCCTCTAGTGTGAATTAATATAATTTTTATTAACACAACATATTATAAGAGGGACCATTTTGAGACAATGCATTTTTTTATATCTATTTAAGGAGATTACTAATAAATAATCAAGAATTTATGGATTATTAAATAAATAATATTTCTGAAGTTTCCATTCGTATTTCAATATATGGCAACTGTGCTGTGGTCTGCCCCTACTTACGAAATCGTGACGTCAGTATTCATTTTTTTTATCGCTTGGAGCGCACGAAAGGGAATCCCTATAATGTTCAAAGAACATCGTGCGTTCCTAGGGAGGATAGGGACAGGAGGTAGGTATTGGAATTTTTTTTGAACTTTTGGAGATTATATGTTGTTGGGAATACTTCCACAGGCGGTAAATTTCTAACGGTGACAATATTGATGATTTTAGCACCTTGAAATCGACCAAAACAATATGAAAAGTGTGAAATTGAGAAGTAATCGAGTGATGATTCTGAAAAAACATAGTCCACTAGCCCATTATGTTTTAGAAATCGTTGTCTTATTATGTACTCTTTCATATATTGTGTCATATTGCATATGATGAATTGATAACAATTATAATAATTCACACTAGAGGAGATTTTGTCCGATAAACGTGACAACACAGGGTTGTGGGTGTTGTCTTGTCACACGGAAAAAAAGGATTTGTTGCATCAACAAATTATTTATGCTTGAGTTATTTTTGTTGGACTGAGCAATTTTTTGTTGAATCAACCAGATACATGATTATTCCATGGAAGCAGCTTGTTCAAATCAAGAATGTAGTCTAATTGAATCAACAATATAATATCAATTCCATCAACAAAATATATGGTTTCTTCAAAAACGAATTATGTCGATCCAAAATAATGTCGATGTTGATTCAACTATAAACATTTCGTTGATTCGATCAAACAATGATCATTTTGATGAGAATATATCTTTGAAACAACATACAAGTTGTCTTATTCCGATGTATCAATGAACTCGTTTCGAACGGATCATTTGCTTGAATAAAGCAACGAAATATGTTATATCAATGAAATATTTTGTTCATTCCACATCAACTTAAATTTTCGCCTCTAGATGGCGATCATTTCGCCTCGTCTATTCCTGCCTCGAGTCCATTATATATACGTGAAGCCTGATTCTTCGTGTTTGAAATAACAGCTGGATAAGTCGAACTCAGGATGATTAGCAATCCGAAATAGTTTTCCATCAGCTAAAGAGAAGTAAAGACTGAAGATCTATGATAAGGAGTCGACTAGTTTCCTAGTTTTGTTTATTCTATTGATGTGAAATTTCAGAAAATTCCCGAATATTGAATTTTGTTCAACAAAACAATTTGTCGAATGGATATATATAGTTTCTCTTGAATCAACAAAATATTTCATTGAATCAACCAAATATTTCATTGAATCAACCAAATATTTCATTGAATCAACCAAATATTTCTTTGAATCAACCAAATATTTCGTTGAATCAACTAAATATTTGATTGAATCAATATCTTGTTATTTTGAATCAAACAAAATGTTTGTTTGAGTCAATTCAATATCTCTTCATAAACAATTCATGGATGTGTTTGATTGAAGAAGATCCAGAGTTCATGCACGACATATTTACTTGATTCAAACTTCAAATTCGCTCTGAAACAAGATATAGATTTACTCATTTCAAGATTATATTTTGTCGTGCATATATGACACTTTTATTTGCTCTATTCAAGTAATTTTGCTTGATTCAACAATTCCTTTTTTTTCGCGCAGTTTTCAGCGTTTATCACAGCATTGCCAAGTCTCTAGCCTATCCTATACATTCACATGATGTTTTGTTATGGAGTATAAGAAATATTT